CGGGGATAAAAAACATTTTATCAAAAATATATTTAATATATACACAAAGAGTTGTAAACGTAGCAAAAAATACTTACTGAGCTGCTCTTCGGGGCGCGTGCCATTAATTCTGCGATAAGCTGCCTCTGATATGAAGAGGGGGGTGAGAGGGGGAGGGAGGGAGGGAGGGAAGGGGGGCTTGGGGGCGGGACAAAGCTTCTGATTGGATAACCTTTCACGTAGAACTGTCAAATCGAGTTTGATGAAAGCCGGTATCTATACTGTGTGTGATGTTTATCATTGATTTGCATGTTAACTCTATTTTTAAAACGACAAGTTGCCTGAAATTCTGTCGAATGTTTTGTGGCATTTTCCTAGTCTGAGTGGTTTCATCTCATATGACAATAAAAAAAAAAAAATCGAATAAATCCTGGTATTATCCAGTCTTTTCATCAGGCGTGTCAGCAAAATTACAGGTCTAGTGTCGCAAAATTGCATGCCTTTCCAGAAACTCAATGGATGAGCCACAACAACATTAAATATAACTTAAACACATCCCAGTTGCTACTGTAGCAATTAACTATGCAGCACTGCACAGACATATTAAATAAGTTTGAATATCTGAAAAATATAGTTAATTTGGAACTAAAACCATATGAATATTGCTGTATATGAATACTGCATCTACACATTTAATTACAGAATAGACAAAACAATTATTTTCAATAAATTATATCAGCCATTGTCTTATTTTCACATCACATTAGCAGTATACAACATTAAATTAAGAATCATTTAATATTTGTATGGAACATGCCAGCCATGCCATTTCTTGCACTACTGTGAAAACAAGTTCATTTCTGTAGTACACCAACCACAATCTGATTTTGATGCCGGTCGAACATAAAAACAAAAAGAACTTACACGAACAGAACTGAAGGAGACATCTCAGGTCTTAACACCCACTTACTCATATCTGCTGCCAAGTGAAGAATAACATAAGGGCTTTGTTTGCATTTCAAGTCAATTTCCTGCACATCCGAGAGGTTCATAACAACCTCTTCACAGAAGAGGCCCCAAGATGTTAATCAGTAGCTCAGCACTACCCTCTAGCTTCTCAGCTTGAAGATGTGCCATGAGCGCTTAGCAGAACAAGACAATCACAGTCTGCTGCAATGCATTTTGTACAGAGTAAAAATCAATTTGTGCTGGAGCCGGAGTCTGTTGGAGGTTTCTTCCATTAAGGGGAGGTTTTCATCCCCACTGTCGCCAAGTGCTGCTCAGGGGGATTTGTTGGGTTTTTCCTCGATAATAAGAATAAGGTCTAGACCTTACTCTGTAAAGTGTCTTGAGATAACTTTTGTTGACTTTTTGCGTGCATACAAATAAAATTGAATTGAATTGTTCTTGTTAATATTTTTACCTAAAGTTCAAGGGCCCTCAGACAGGCAACATAATTCCCTAGCCCTGACCTAACATTCATTTAAGCTACCTTAAATTCCACAAATCACCAAGAAAAGAGCAAACACTCTTTAATGGCCCTGCTTTATACTGACCTTGCAGCTGCTTAGGCTAAACTACATGGGCCACTCAGCTATCCAGCCACCATCAATGAACACCTGGCTCCACTGGACTTACCAATACAAGTTAGTTATCAAGTGGATGAGAAATGTTTCCTGAAGAGTATCCCTTAACTCAAGGATGGCCAACTCTAGGAGAGTCCAAGTGGCTCCAAACCATTTCTCAGTAACTGAGACTACCCAAAGCTTTAGATTTGATTTAATAAGCTTACTCTAATCTATAGCCACAGTTTTACTGTGGAGGTCTGCAGAGACTTCCTTGCAGCTCATGACTTGGGTTTTTGTGGGGATTATGGGACCATACACAGGGGTGTCCTTTTCTAAATTAAGTCCAATTAATTCAGTTTGCCACAAGTGGACTCCAATCAAGTTCTAGATGCATCCAAGATACTTGGAGCAAACAGGCTGCACCTGAGCACAGTTTGAAGTGACATAGCAAAGGATCTCCATACTTTTAGAAATGAGAACATTCAGTTTTTGATTATTTTGCAAAAAAATGTGTCTTCACTTTGTCTTTATGAATTATTGGTGGGCAAAAATGTCAGTTGTATCAATTCCCAATCAAATCTACAACTTAAGATTCAGTAAAAGGTGGTGGGGCCTGAATACTTTTTGATGCCACTGTAAAAACAAGCTAAGCTACCTAAGGTGTCCCTCATAAACATTATAAAACCACCCAACAGTGCTCCCATTGTGTCGGATACAGAAAATAAACATTAGAAACGCAAAAAATCCAGCAGGCTAACGTTAGCCGTTATGCTAGCTCAATAAACGGTGGGACACCCTACTCACCTGAGCGGCTTTGTGCAGGTAGATACTCGTCAGGGTACAATTTAGTTAGCTTGTTCGGGCTGTTTTATAACGTAACGCATCATTATGACACTCGCTTGTAGTGTGTCTTTGACTGCAGTACACACCAAATAAAGAATTAACATTTGGCGGGGAAACGTCTGTGACCAGCCCTGAGATGTTACAAACAGACATATTACCTTCTAAACCAAGGCCACACTGAGGCTGTGTCCGAAACCACATACTGTGACAGTACGTACTGAAAGAGATGAAGTACCTACTTACTGACCGTTAAAACAGTAGGTACTGTATAGTATGAAGCCTGGTAGTATGAATGAGATTCGGACGTACTACATCCGCCATGTTGATACATCACGTGACATACGTTTTCATAGCAGCGTCTTCTTCGTTGGATAACTCCTCTCCCGGGGCATCATGGGATAGTGAAGTGTCCACCGTATGCACACTGCAAAATCCAACCGGAAGCAGTAGGTCATCCGGGTACTTTTCGTCTACTGTTTTTGGAATACTACGAATCCGGACATACTACTCGCCTCGCCTACTGCTTTTCGCCTACTATACAGTATGGTAGTAGGCGGTTTCGGACGCAGCCTGAGTCTGGAGCTTAAGTTGAGCCCAGTCCCTGTAGATCTTCATCAGCTGTTTCCTTTCTGAGGAACCACATCCTGTTTCTCCATTGTTCTGCAGTCAGCCAGCCTTCTTGTTTCCTAGCAGACTTGTCCCTCTGCCTGTCAGCTTTCCTGTTGCTCAGTAAGCACTTTGTAGTCTCTCACAAGTGACCTACATAATGGATTTTAACATTTTTTGTGTAGTTAATTGGATAAAAACAAAACAGTAATTTCACTTTTCAACCAGCACATTAGATATTCAAGTAAATACCAATTAAAAATAAACCTTTTACTTGTCTGTAAAGAGAAAGCATTTTTTAAATCACAGGCAAATGCAGTTATATATACATACTAATCTTGTGGCTCATGTTGTTGCTTTAATTCACACTAGAGCTGTGGAGAGAACATTATGGAAATGACCGGGCTTCTACACACAAGACACCTACATAAATCATCAAATTACTTTCAGAGTAAAGTGGATTTGTAGAATATAAAAGTCTCTGTCTTGCTGTGTCAAGCAAAACAAAAATATTACTGTATTTCCCCCAGTGTCATTTTTGTTTCGGAGTCTCTGTTCACCTGTGTGCACCTGGTGTTTACCTTTAGGTCTTGTCTACCAAGCAGGGCACGTGATCCTTTCACAAATATTACACAAATGCATTTCCAAAACAGTTTAATATTACACAAATGCATTTCCAAAACAAAATGCTTTTGTACTTACAATGAGTGATGAGAGGCAGAGTGGTTGAAAGCTCTTATAAAACAAGACACAGCTGTCAACTTGGAGCATATGTATACAATCATTCAGCATGTACGCTGTGCCATTTCTTTGCCAGTCACCTTGGTGACAGTGCTGAATGTGACAGTAAAATAAAGCACAGTACATTGTGCTGGATGCAGAGTAAGGCTTACAAATGTCTGTGATTTAAAAGTACATCCTGCCACACACCAAGTTGACATTCTGTACCACTGAAAATTAAGCTTTTCAAAATGTTCTTCAGAGTGGAACAAATACTGTATGTGGAGGAGGGGAAAGACGCTCCTTTGGAAACACTTGTGTATGGTTGTCAATCTTGGTAGACATGGTCATGAATTCAGTGTAACAAACGCTAACATCCTCTTTCAAATTCTCTACAAATGCTGATTTGTACAGTTGTCTGACAGCAGAAGCAGAAATGTATGTCAATGACTTAATGTGTCAGAAGTCCCACCTCATAACTGGGTTAACCTTTGTTCCATTATGTGATGTTCTCATAGAACAGGCAATCTTTCATCAGCCTTTCTGAAAACTGAACGCTTTGTGGGGGGTTCCCTCCATATTTGAAGCTAAATGGGTTTCTACTACAGTATTAGATAGAAAATGTGCCTTATGAGAAATATCCTTTAAAACTGTGTTAACGTAACCTGGTTGCTAGGACTCCTAGGAATGTTCATTGAATTTTAACAAAATAATCTTTAATTAAAATAACTGGGTTTTCAGGTGTTACTGTGCAGTAGCGTAGGTATGCATTTAGTTTTGAATAAAGGGCCCAGAAACCTGCTTTGGAAGAACATTTGAAAGACACCGTCTATGAGTGAAGACCTTAAATTACAAGTGGTATAGAGCATACTAGAAGCTACTGTGTAAAGAGGAGAGGCTTGGGCTGTTATGAAACACAACATACTACTCTCATCGAGAGTAGATGGTCACAGAAGAGGCTTCACCTGAATTTTGCTGTAAATCAGTGAAAAAGTTATAACACAATGAGCAGCTTCATAATAATCCGTTTGAGAAAATAGTGCCAGGTTGCAAGGAAGCCAAAGACATTAAATATGGAGGAGAGACTCTGAACCCTTGGGTCCAATGCAAGCAGTAAACAGTAACGTTCAGCATTCACAAGAGTGACTAGTCTCTATCATTATATTTAACAACCTGGTGCTGTTTAACACATGCAAATGCACAAATTCAAAAGTTCAAATAGCTAAAAAGTTTCAATATATCAGAAAAATGGAGGACAAATCACAACTGATCCTCTCTGCGAAGCTCTCCTCTTTCTAGTTTCAAAATAGTCCAGAAGTGCTTTATAGTCCCAGGTGGCCACATTCAGCCTGCAGCCAGACTTTCATCTCTGCAGGATGTTACCTCATCAAATGCTAGTCTTGACATTTAGTTGTAAAGTGCATGACATACAACTCAAATACACACTTACCTACACATTCACAAATAAGCAGACAGAGCAGAGGTGTGCAAATTTATGGCATGGTTCACCATTTTTAATTAAATGTATTTAAATATTAATCGAATGAAAAATGAAAAGGAACTAGAAATTTCTTTAGGTCGCATACAAGCTTGGAATTAACAGCCCTCGCACATCCACCCTCAGTTCTTCTGGTCCAGTTTTCATTTTCCTTCCTGCCTGCTCACAGACACACTGTGAACGAGCCAAGTTGGTTCAGTGCACATGGCCGTCCTTTAGAGCTTGTATCATAAACCCTGCATTGGGCCAGACTTTGGTAGGCTTGCTTTTCTGCAAACTGTTTTTGGTTAACTGATGAGGGAAGTAAGACAGTTTACAGTAAATATTAACTGAACATGAAGGCCACAAACTTAAAGCTCTTAAACAAAGTTGTTTGCTGATTAACAAAGGGATCTTTACTAGCACAACATAATTTAAAGCATATTCCAACCAAGACATTTGTGCTTTATTACAGTGAGTGTTATTTGCAGAAGAGCTGATAAGTCCTGTTATCCTACATGTGGCTCTGCATTCAGTCCTTTAGGGCCAAATAAATTGAAATAAAATGATGAATATTGCTGATCAAAATTATGAGTACAATGGGAGAATAACGTCCAAGCATAAGGTTGTCTGTAAGAGTGCTGCTCAACACACACAACAGGCAACAGAAAGGCGGGAATGTAAGCTTTGAGGTCATTCAGTTCATTCTTCTTCTGGTTTTCTGAAGGGTGGGGGTGGAGAAAGAGAATACTTCCTCTCTCATCTGAACCCAAACAGTCATTGTACACAGTGAGAACTGCCTTCTCCTTGAACTGCAACACTGTCTGCACCTAAAACAAAGCTGTTGTTATTAAAATGAAGATTTCTGTGAATTCTCTGAATGCGTGCAAGAGAGCTATTTTTGTTTTGATACCAAAAATAACAACTAATGGTTGTTTTCACAATCAGTTTTTCTAATGACTAAACATTAATATACAAGTTAGAAACTGTATAAAACGAAGAAAAGCAGCAAATCATCACATCTGAGATCTTTGAACCAGAACATCTTAATTTTGCTTGATAAATGCCTTTATCTCCTACTGTCAATGAAGTAATCGTTTAAGCACATACTCTAACAAAGTAAAAGGTTTGTGAAAGAAGCAGCAATAGTTAACTTTAGTGTCTTACTTTTGCACCATCACAGGGGTGTCTCTCTCTTGTATAAAGCTGCACTGGTGGGACCTTCAAACTGCAGTTTGATGGCCTGTTTCAGGTTAAGCTGTGGGTCTGTGCTTGTCATAGTGACCATAACATCCTCTGGCAAGGCACTGCAAGGTGGGGCTGGGGTAAAACTGTAACAAGAAGGTGTCAAAATGTTCTTGGGTGGAGAATCCCAAACTTCCCCTTGAGGTGGGCTCTGTAGCCTATATGGGTAGCCCACAGGAGGACTCTCTCTGTTTTTAGCACCTCCTGCAGGACTGTCTTGCCCTGGCATTATCCCAAGGGAAGCCATGACTGAGTACCATTTACCCCCAGCATGAGTAGTCCTGTCTGCTTTGATTAAGTTTGAGTTTAGTTTGTTCATTTTGTCTTGATATTCAAGTTCAGATGACAAGCCTTTTTCAGGCAGTTCACAGTTGTGCACCATGGCAGTGACTGTGCAAACAGTGGGAGGAGGGCTGCCTTTGGGATGCCTCTGGCTACTTCCATGAAGGCTCCCCATTCCTGAACTCCCTGGTGGCGGGAGGGTGGAGGGTCGGCTACGGCTGCGGGGAAGTGAGTGCTGTTGGATCTGCTGAATAAAGCTGAGGCTGTCCGCTGGCACTGTCTGCACTGTGGCCAATGAGTGGCAGGTGGATGAGGTTTGGGAGCTCTGCATGGAGTGGAATCGTTCTGCAGTGGAGCCGGGAGATGACACTGAGGAGGAGGAGGTAGCACCTGTGACTTCACCTCCTTTGCTCTCAGAGATGCCTGAGGAGAGGCTCTTATTGGGTTTTGCAGGGGAAACAGTACTAGAGTTAGGCGACAGTCCTAGGTATGGCTTGGCTCCATAGCTCTCCAAAA